TCACATCGATGTTTCCCTCTCTCTCTCTTCCTCTCTCTCCCTTCCACTCTATCTGTGCAAAAAGTGGAAAAATGTCCTCGGGTGAGGATTAAAAAAATAAAATAAAAAAAATAAAAAAAATAAAAGTGACATTCATGCCTTCATTAAGAATAATGAACACGTAGTAAAGTAAAATTCATTTAGTGTCTTCTATCTAGATTAGAGCTTCTCACACCTCATTGTGTATGAACACCACCCGGGAGTATGTTAACAATGTCGAATCCTCACCCTCACACCTGGATGCAGAAAATCCAGAAACGTGCACTTTTAAATCATGCGTCTCCCAGGTGTCCCTGATGGCAGCGGAGCTGATCATACCCGGAGGGACCCTGTCTAGTCAGGCTCCACATGAAGCTGAGCCAACAAAGAACCGTTTAACTAGGTCATACATCTGAGGTCCCTCTGATTAAGACTGATGTCACTCTGATGTACAACTGTGTAAGAAAGAGCCAACCCCAAGAGATGCAGAACTACACATACAGATACGGACCCCCGATAGACAGGTGAGAGATAAACAGACAGATTAGAAGTACAGGTGTGATTTATCGTCCAACTCGTACACTTTGAGAGGGACACAATTTTGCCAGGACCACAGGCAGAAGCCAGGGCTTCCCAGAATGTCCGGTGGCCTTACCAATAAGTACTTTTCTCAGGACTGCCCTGTGATCTTCCTATAACAGACCAAGGACCACATTTTTCTCTGGACGCAGAATCAATAGCTGGGCTGCCTTTCCCACACCCGTTTCCTTTGATCCTATGGACACCCTCACTCTGCCCGCTGACGCCCTGCAGCCGAAGCACACCCACTTTCTGCCACTGCGCAGATTAAAGGTTCGCACAGACAGAGCCTCAAACCCGGCCTCGCTGTCCCTGCTCGGACGTCTCCCAGGCTCCCTGTCCATTTTCTTTCACTGATTCCACCCTGCTCTTGTGTACACATTTGTACGAGCTTCTTAAATCCGTCCTGCAATAAGGAGGCAGAGTAGATACATTTAATACGGGAATATGTATTCATTAGGGATATTTTATGAGTTTCTTTATAGCTCTTGTGTTAAAGACAGTATCAAAACCAGGGACTTTGAGAAGTGAGGAACCCAGGCACAAGAATGCCCTCGGAGCACAGACACTGGCCCCAGAGCCTGGTTTTGTGACCCTCGGTCTACCCACCGCTGCATATCAGGACTGTTTTTAGGCCTGGGGCACGAAGGTCGGTATGTAGCTGGTTGATGGTACGAATATGAGACGTGACCAGTTTTCTGCGATCTTTATGACCAGCAATCCTGAGTGTTAATCACGGCATCTAACTAGCACAAACTAGTCGAACCATTTGGAATCGGGTCTGGAGAATCCCATTTCTGTATGCAGAGCACTCTGTGCCCAAACTGTGCCCGAGGGAGGCCTGGGCCCTGGGGCGCGGGCAGGGGCCGCCGCGGACAGAGCTGCCAGGTCCCGCACCCTCACGGCCACGTCAGGGAATGACCTTCACAGTGCAACGAGCCACGTGTGTGCGTGCACACGTGTTCACCTGTGCGTCTGTGTATGAGCACACATACATGAAGCTTGACCAATAACTGAAAGACACGGCTTGCAAAATCAGCCACAATTAACTCTTACAAACACTATTAACTGAATAACCGCCAGCACCCGTGTGAAGCAACCCCAGGCGGGAGCCGCTGAAAGAGGCCTTTCCTCAGGAGCTGAAACCGGCCCTTACGCAGACACTGTGGGCCAATCGCACGGCCATGCTCCGCCCACCCAACCGGCACCCAGCGCCCGGGGGTCAGAAGTGGGGGTGCTCCGACTTGATGAAATTGGCACCTTGCCACTTCCCCGTGCGAACGTCTCTCCTGTTTTCTAAACGTTTTACTTAACACAGGAAGCCCCACGCCTGGCCCAGCTGGCACGGCATCAGGGCATCCTGATGGCAGCACAATTACGACCTCCCTGGCTGAAGGACGTACGTGGCACCAGGCAGTCCCTCGCGGGTCCTCGCGGACAAGAGTTTGCAGTGCAGGCCATTCCTCAGACTGAGTCTCTCCTCTTAGAAAACGAACACCCTGGCGCTGCCTCAGCTGCAGGAATTACATCCCGGAGGATGGCGGCCAAGGAGGAGACGGCTTGGGCGGGGGTCCTTCGGGTTTCTGCTCACCTGTTCACACCCAGCCAGTGTCTGAGGCTCTGCCCTCCCACGCGCCCCCGAGCACATCCCTGGCCTCCGCACACCCAGGATGGCACCTTGGCGTTTTCGTGTCTACGTGTTCCCGCATTCAAGAGGAAATGCCCTGTTTGCTGGCACGGTGACAAATGACGCCTCTGGGGTGTGTACCTCAGTTGCCATGATCAAACCAAATACACGGCTTCTGTATAAATGTCCCCTGTGCTTCAATGAACACCAACCCGTGTGACCCTCTCATAAGGCAGAAACGAGCCTTTCTCTCCACGGTGTCCTACAAACGCCTTCCAAGGTGCTTCAAGGTCAGGGTCAGCCACAAAGGATGAGCCTGCTCACAGCCAACTGCATCAGATCCGCTTCGCACAGTCTGGCGGAAGCCACACAAGGACGACCCTGCAGAGAAGCCCAGCCGACGAGTCCGAGTCCAGCGCGGGCCAAGCACGCGGCACCCCGCACTCCTGCAGGAAACAGGCTGGCACTGGGCATGAGATCCTGCCGAGGAAGGGGTAAGAGCCACACCGCGCAGACGACCTGAACCTGCCTGCCGTCGCCCTCCCTTGGATGAAGGGACAGTCAAGTCCACACAGACTTCACCCATGCACACCTGGCGTGACCATGGCCACACACAACCTGCACCTGCGCCGGGTGGCTAGGCTCCCTTCGCCCTTCTTCCCGGTGAATATTCACTGGGCACCCGCTGCCGCTGGCACCGCATCCGCCTCGCAGGCAGGGCCTTGGCGCGGACACCCCACGGACGCAGGGAGAAGAGCAAACGTGCACGTCATTGTGGCAGATAATCTCACTTATAAGTGGAATCAAAAGAACAAAATACACTGACGAACAAAGTAGGTCCAGAGGTATGAATGCATGGAACAGATAAGATATCAGTGAGGGGGGCTGAAGGGGGCGGGCTGGGGGAGGGGACAGGGAAAGATTAACCAAAGAACACATATGCATAGCCCACGGGCACAGACCACAGCACGGGGAAGGCCTGGGTGGGGCAGGGGTGGGTGGAGGGGGCCAAAAGCAAGAAAATGGGAGACAGCTGTCATACTGTCAACAATAAAAAAAATAATAATAATTAAATTAAAATAGGGCAGGCGGGGGACTGAGAGTCACTGGGTGCAGGGGAGTGAGCCCAGGCTGGACGGGGTGGCCTCCCAGAGGTGTCTGCAGAGCCCCGGAGGGACGGCGCTGCCTGGGACAAAAGCTTGCAGGCTGAGGTGGCAGCAAGTTCAAGCCCCAAAGCAGCAGAGCAGGGCGACCAGCTGACTGGAACGAGGAGCCGGGGGGGGGGGGGGGGGGGGGGCTGAGCTTTCGTCTGACGCAGAAGAGGAGAGAATGAAGGACACAGGCAGGTCTGTTCACATTGCAACTTGGCCTCCAATTCGCTGTCGTCCCTGGAAAAGTTAGCTGACCTCTCAGATCTTCATTTCCCTCGTGGGGAAAGCGTGACAAGAACACCTGTTTCCCGGGACTGCATGAGATGAGGTCTCCGCAGCACAACCAGAAACGCCCAGAATAGAGCGGGGCTCACTGACTGGGGACTGTCCACGTTGCCGGCGGGGTATTTTTAGTTTTACATCAGCCATTTCCTCTCGGGAGCTGTCGGTCCTTCTTCCTATCACCTTTAGGTTTTTTGTTGCTTGTTGTTGGGTTTTTTGTTTGTTTGTTTTTTTAGCTATTGTTGTTAGTCCTCACTCAAGGATATTTTTCCCATTGATATTTTTTTTTTTTTTTTTAGAGCGAGTGGAAAGGAGGTTGGGAGGGAGGAACAGACGGTGGGGGGTTAAGGAGAGAGACATCAATGTGACAAAGACACATCGATTGGTTGCCTCCAGAATGTGCCCCGACCGGGCCGGAGATCAAACCTGCCACCCAGTACATGCCCTTGCCCGGGAATCGAACCTGCGACCCTTCGGTGTGTGGGCTGCTGCTCCAAGCACTGAGCAACACGGGCCAGGGCTGAATAAATAAACAAGCTCCTGGCATTTGCCTCCGATTCCGAGGGGCCGCTCTGGGCTGGGCTCGGAATGAACTTTGCGGTAAGGGCGGCTCTGGTGCTCGGCACCTGGAGCGCGGGCCAGGGACAGCTGGGTCAGCTTCTAAGAACGGGCTGGGTACCGCTCCCAACTTTTTATTTCCCCAAGTAAGAAAATGTCTCAGAAACCAACAAGGCTGTCATCTATTATAAATAGCCCTTCATAAAAGGAAAGATATTTAACACCAGTTAATCTCAGCGCAAGAGCAATTCCTGCCTCCAGGTCACTTCATGGACATCCGCTCTCTGTCTGTATCTCACAAGCATGCACACGCACACACACACACACACCGGGGAACATGGACATCTGCTCTCTCTCTCTCATAAGCATGCACACGCACACACACCGGGGAACATGGACATCCGCTCTCTCTCTCTCTCTCTCTCTCACAAGCATGCACACGCACACACGCACACACACACCAGGGAACATGGACATCTGCTCTCTCTCTCTCACAAGCATGCACACGCACACACGCACACACACCGGAGAACATGGACATCCGCTCGCTCTCTCTCTCTCTCACAAGCATGCACACGCACACACACCGGGGAACATGGACATCCGCTCTCTCTCTCTCTCTCTATCTCACAAGCATGCACACGCACACACACCGGGGAACATTTCCCCACAGGTGGACAGACCTCTGCTGGCCTCCACGCACACCCACTGCTCTAGACCAGGGAGGGGACGGACGTCACAGGCAGGAAGAGACAGCTCAGTGACACCTCAGAAAGGCATCTGACCTGCGGGGACGATGACTCTGCGCTCATTTGTGGTCATGTTCGGGGGCGGCATGTGCTTCTCCTCCATGTAGCCGTAGTTCATCCCGACCGTGTCCGGGCTGCCCACCATCTTCCCGCCTTTCGCCACGCTGCATTCGTCGGGGGAGTTCCTGGGGGAGAGAGAGAGACATCCCTCCATTACTGTGGCCTCTGAAAGCCATGCAGGTCTTGGTGAGATACAGATGGAAGCAAGGACGCGAGCGGAGGGGACAGGGGAGAGAGGAGGAGAGGAGTGACAGGCAGAGACAGTGGCCATCGGAAACTGAATGCGTGTCCCCCCAAGTCCGTATGTTGAAGTCCCAATCCTCAGAGTGATGACATTTGAAGATGGGGCCCTTCGGAGACAACTAAGTTGAGCTGAAGCTGGGAGGATGAGGCCGACATATGGGATCAGTGTGTTTTTAGAAGAAGGGGAGGCCGCGAGCTCTCTCTCCACCACGTGGGGACAAGAGAGGAGCCGGCCCTCCGCAGCCCAAGGAGAGGGCTCTCCCCAGGCACCTGACCTCGGACTCCCAGCCTGCGGGACAGGAAGAGTGCCCGCTGTTCCAGCCCTCGGTCTGTGGTGACGTCCAAGGCAGGCTCAGCTGACAGGACAGTGCCCAGGGTCGGTCACAGCACAGAGCAGGCACGAGGGAAGCGAATGCCACCTGGCTTCTATTTCTGCAGCCAGCTCCTCCTGAAACCGTCATGTCAAAACCCAGCTGTGACAACCGATTGGAAACACGTGCAGAAACCAGGGACCTGCCGTCTGTTCTCACTGCGCGACAGTCAGCAGGCCGTGCCCACAGACGCGGGAGGCGGCACCCAGCGTGCCCAGCAAGGCTTAGCCTAGATGTTCCTCTTTTTCAAAACCTCAGAACAAAGTTCTTGCGTGGAATGTCACATTCCAGTTGCAAGCCAATCTTCAGTGAGGGGACTTGGAGAGTCACGATGTCCCAAGCTCGATGCGGCAGGCAGGCCAAGAAGGGGCGGGCTGGCTCCCCGGGAGGCAGCCGGTGGCCAGGGATGGGGTGTGCGGCCAGCTGCGTGGATGCAAAAAGCACTCAGCGGCTGGCCCCAGGCACAGGCACAGGGCCGCCGTGCATAAGGCCGCCACAGCCACTAGATCAAGGACAACCTGCCTTTCTGGAAAAAGAAACAAGTGACTCTTTTTGAGATTCGAAAGTTGCAGGACATGGTAAAATTGTATCTAATAAGGAAATCGCAAATAGAAAATCCAGCTTAACCAGGAAACAGGAAAATCTGTCCAACCTTCTGAGATGGTTAACCCACAGGTGGGTAACTCACAGATGGTTAACCCACAGATGGGTAAGCCAGGATTACTGGAGCGAAGGGGCCTTGATCTTCAGGTTCTGTTTCTAAGGCAGAGTTCTAGAAATTACCTCTCAAGTTCGACCCTACAGGTGATGTATCATTTTCTCGAGAACACACCCGTCTCCATTGGAGTTCAGATGTCCCTCCCTGTGACAAAGGCTGAGGCTGTGGGTCCCCTCCACACTGTCAGTGGGAGCTGTGCAGCAGCTTGGCATGCACTTGACCTTCAAGTCTGAGATGATCACAACCAGCCAGGACAGGAGAGCACTCTGGGGGGCACTGGGCTGAGGCGGGCTGGAGAAGGTCATTCCAGACCCAAAGGTCATGGCAGGGGTGTGGACAGGGAGGGCAGAGAGGGCAGCAAGGGTCTGGAGTCAGCATCTGGGAACTTTGGAAACCTAGGTTTGTTCCCAGCATCACTTGCTCACGTGTCCAGCGCTGAGGGAGGAAGCTCAGGCTGACCATGAGTGAGGAGCAGTTCGGGTCTGTGGATGGAGGTTACAGCCGGGGCCACCCAGGACTGAGGCTCGACCACGGGCCTGGAAATACACCGCCCTGTTCCACGGTGTCCTCACAGCTGTACTAACATGAAGGAAATTTTAAAATAATAACGGTCTGCGTTCCCATGGAGCCGACCTGCTGTATTTCCAGGGCTGTCTACACATGCATTATTTCCTCCTGATGCGCTTTTTCCTGGCTTCACACGTTTATCTCCGAAAGACCCATCTTAATATCAAAACACCGGGTGTCTTCACGGGAGCCTCGGTTTCCTAGCCCTTCGGAAAATTCCGCCAGTTGAGTGGAGTGTATGTTTGGGTCTATTTGTCTCAAGGAGAGAAGTTACTAGGGGAGAAAGTTCAAGGAAACTGGTCTTTAGGGAGAAAACTAGATGAGACCCAGGAGATGAGCGTAACTCAAATAACAACTCCAAAGTCCAGGACGGGAGCCGTTCAATCACTCGCCCACTCGTCCCTTCAGACCACGTTATCGAGGGCCTGCTGCCTTCCAGGTACCCCAGTTCTTTCTTCTCCAGCAAGACAGGTAACTGTCTAAAAGGTTCCAGGTCAAAGAGATGTCCAGGATTCTAGAAACCGGGGACTTAGGAATTACGTACCCTCCAGACCAATCCTTTCATTTTCTTCTCATTCTTAACAGTTTAATTTCCACACACGACAGAGAACAGGAGCTCTAGGCACGGGTCAGCATCGTTTTCCTATGGTTTTAAAATCTGATCCAGAGATACGATGAGCTATAGAACTGCATTGTCTAGAGCTTTCCAAAACTACGTGTGAGAATTTGAAGTTGGAGCAATTTCAGTGAAGTCCCTTTGTTTCTGTGTTATAACCACAAAGCATAATTCATCTCAGGAAGCTTCCCCACACGAGCTTACGTCGTAAAAATAGACCGTCAGGCCCTCATTTCAAAAGTCGGGACTTCAGGATCGTTTCTGTCCATCGTCCTCTGTTTTCGCTTCAGGGAAGACAGAATGGAGCCTCGTTTCTGATCATTTCAAATAGTTTTTGTAACAAATCTAAGGGAACGCCAACCCCGAGTGGGCAGAGCATCACCCGTGAGGCCGTGCGCTGGATTCAAAGTAGATGTTCAACAAATGTCAGTTAAAGGGGCCCAACGTGTTCTAGTCTCACTTTTCAGTCATTTCCCCTTGTTTTCACTCTTGGAAATTTCAACAGCAAAGGAGTGGTATCTGACAGTCCTCGCGAGAGCCTGGTGCAGCAGGTGCGACCCACCTGCGCTTTCCGGGGAACAGACAGGAGAGAAGGGGCTTGCCTAGATCTGAGCAGGGAAGGCAGAACCAAGACTCAGGCTGGGCAGCCTCACCTCACTGCCCCTGCTGGGCCCTGCCCAGAACACCGGCCCCTGCCCAGAACACCGGCCCCTGCCCAGAACACCTGCCCAAAACACCTGCCCCTGCCCAGAACACCTGTCCCTGCCCAGAACACCTGTCCCTGCCCAGAACACCGGCCCCTGCCCAGAACACCTGCCCCTGCCCAGAACACCGGCCCCTGCCCAGAACACCGGCCCCTGCCCAGAACGCCTGCCCCTGCCCAGAACGCCTGTCCCTGCCCAGAACACCTGCCCAGAACACCTGCCCCTGCCCAGAACACCTGCCCAGAACACCTGCCCAGAACACCTGCCCCTGCCCAGAATGCCTGCCCCTGCACAGAACGCCTGCCCCTGCCCAGAACACCTGCCCCTGCCCAGAACACCTGCCCAGAACACCTGCCCCTGCCCAGAACTCCTGCCCCTGCCCAGAACTCCTGCCCCTGCCCAGAACGCCTGCCCCTGCCCAGAACGCCAGCCCCTGCCCAGAACACCTGCCCCTGCCCAGAACACCTGCACCAAGTAAAGTGAGACGCTGCTCCTTTAAAGGTAAAATAGACCATAATTTCAGAAAGGAATCAGGAACCCCCTAACCCACATGTCGCTGGGCTTCCTGCACCTCAGTACGCACACCACTCCTATTCTAGGGTGCCGTTGGAGCCTCGGGGGCTGCTCCGCCCCCAGCAGGGCAGGTGGGAGACACAGCCAGGACACGTGTCAACAGACAGAAGGAACAGCTGCAATTCCTGGAGAAAACAACGTCTTCAGGGGCGTCCATTAGGCACCGCTCTAAGAAAACAAAACCTCAGCATGACTCAGAGAACTGGAAGGCGAACCTAAGGCTCTCACCATGAACACCCTCTCGGCTCTTCGCCAGGGGCGGCAAGGAGAGACCCCACTGCACAGTCTGCCCCCCGCTACCGCGCTGTGCTTCACCATCGTTCTGCGCGTTCTGGGGCGGACAAGCCACGGGGACCTGTCACAACAGCTGGGTGCCCACTTGCACCAGACCCTGCCTGGGCGGGAGGACCACGCGGTCTCGTCTCTATCATCACAGGAATCTGGGCGCTCAATGCATCGCTTTTGAAATGCACAGAGCAAAGGGCGTTCTTTAAGACCTGAATTCTTAGTATTCATAGCAGTGTTTTCTACGCTTCTGTGAAACTTCTAAAGCAATTCACTAGATGCTTGCTAAGGGGCTAATCGTTTGGTGCCTATGAAATGCCTCTGTCTTACAGTTTGGGGCATACATTTCTTTACTGCAAATAAGCATGGGTCAAGATTTTCTCTCAGACTCTCTTAAGAGCATACAAGCTATTATGCAAATCACAACCACAATGTGCTATCACCTCACACCTGTCAGGATGGCCATATAACAAAACAAATGATAACGGGTGTTGACGCATATTTATCCAAAAGAACTGGAATTAGGTTCTCTAAGAGACATTAGTGCTCCGTTGTTCATTACAATACTATTCACAACAGTCAAGCTGTGCAAACAGACATGTCCATATAGATGGATGAATGGATCAAGAAAATAGGGTACAGCCCTGGCCAGTTTGGCTCAGCGGTTAGAATGTCAGCCCGTGGACCCGAGAGTCCCAGGTTCAGTTTCCACTAAGGGCATGTACCTCGGTTGCAGTTTGTCCCTGGCCCCAGATGGGGCCGTGTGGGTGGCAACCAGTCAATGTGTCTCTCTCACATTGATGTTTCTCTCTTTCTCTCTTCCTCCTTCTCTCCGTCCTGCTCTATCTGAAGACAAATGCAGAAAAATGTCCTCAGGTGAGGAAGGGAGGGAGGGAGGGAGGGAGGGAGGGAGGGAGGAAATGGGATACATATGTACAAGGGAATACTATTCTACTTCAAAAGAAGGAAGTTCTGCAATATATGACCAATACATGAGTGGAATAAGCCAGTCACAGAAAGACAAACACTGTGTGATTCCACTTATATG